TACAGTTCTTTTTACTTAACAAATATTTGTACAGAACCACTATATGCTAAAAAAAAAAAAAAAAAAAAAATCAATTGAGTCTAGCTAAGAACTACACCAAAATTTTCCCAACTGCTAACTGGAAAAATCTGGCCTTGTGCTCATTTCTTCTAGATACAGTTCTAGAACATTCATTCTTTTACATCACGTTTCACACGGGGGAGGGGTTTAGTGAGAAATTAGGGCACCAAAATGAAAAATCTCAGCTGTGTTCCTCTTTTCAATATTTCTTGTAATCCATATCATCAGTCTCAAGAGTTCTCAAACCCACCTTTGTACTTACTACACCACACATTACTTTGCTTTTGTGATATCCTATACTACTGTTATAGGCAGCTGAGTTAGATAGAAATATTAAAAATATTACAGGCAGTCAGACAGGTCCAGGCCCTCGAAGAAACCAGTGAGGAAGATGAGATACCTTGCAACTGTGGGGGAGACAGACACCTCCAGCTGTGGACAAAAGATTAAACAGATGCACCCACATACTTCCCTAGGGATGGACCTCAGGGATTGATATTCTAAATAGATATCGGTCACCTTGAAAAAGCCAAGAAGAATCACTAACCCAACTCCATACAGGAAAGGCCCCCATTCTGTATTCGTGTCCGCTGGCTGTGGGACTGGCTTCCCCCATTTGATCACGATTTCATCAATTTTACCTGAGCAATTATATTTGTAATCTTATTGGTGGAATATAGTTTTGTCCCACCCTATGGCCACCTAACAAGTTCCCATGTTTTCCCCTTTGGACCTGTCTCACCTCGTGGAAGACATAAAAGAAGACCAGTCACAAAGCTGCTAGCCTGCAGGAGTTTCCAGGATAGCCCACACTGATTCTCAGATGTGCATGTACTTTTATTTTTGCTTTTGCTCTCTATTTTTTTCTTTGTTCGGCCCAAATTCACTCTGCAGAGCTGGTTTCTTCCATACCTACTTACTCCGCACTTTTCAAATAAACTTTTGGCACTGTTTTTGGCTTGTCTTATCCAATTCTTTGTTCCAGGCAAGAAGAACCCCGAATGCTTTTGACCATTTCTAAAGAAACTACCCTCAGGGCTGAACATCTCCATTACAATGGCTTTCACATCACTGGAATTCCATGCTAAATAATGAATCAATTTCTCACATTGCTAAGGCAACTCCACAGAGATGTGGCAGGTGAAAATATCTGAATTATTCACTCTGGCATTGTTTACATTGAAGAAAAGTAGGTTTACAATACTTCTCCATCACAGTCATGAAATCTGTCCTTCTTTTCCCTTGCGACACCACCACCGAAGTCTTGACATTCCAGGAAGCAAATAGTTACAATCTCCAGAAGCTCATTTTTTTTTTACATGTAAAAATCAATAATGCTAGCCGGGTGTGGTGGCACCCGCCTGATCCCAGCACTTGGGCGGCTGACACAGTAGGACTGCCAAGAGTTTGAGGCCAACCCTGGGGTACATAATGAGTTCAAGGACAGCGTGGACTACATAGTGAGACCATATCTCAAAAAACAACAACAAAAAAAGTTAACAATGCTGACCAAATCTAATTTTGATAAAACACCATCACTAATGGTAACTGGATCAAACTGCCTGAATGAAATACTGAAGAATGATATCTTTTGTAAACTTAGTTATAGGTCATGCCTTTATTAAAGATATGGAAGTCATCGGGTCAAAACAGGTTGATGGTGCAAAACTAAAACTGTCAGTGTTGAGGCTGGGGACTGTGGCTGTGGCAGGCAGTTCTTGCCTTACAGGCCCAAGGCTCTTGGGTTTGATCCTCTGCACCACTAAATAAATAAATAAATACAAACTGCCAGTGTTGCTATCACTGCATAGAGAAATAAACTAGTAAACTGACAAATAAAAGTGTGCTTGTGTGTAGAATCTTCATTTTTTTTGTTTTTTTTGGTTTTGGTTTTTTTCTGGTACCAGCAATCGAACGCATGACCTCGTTCTTGCCAGGCAGGCACTGTGCCACTGAGCTAAACCCCCAGCCCCTAGAATCTTAATTTTATAGAATTTATGAAACATGATTATTAGTTACATAAAAGTTTCTGAATTAAAACTTGAAATACAACTCATAAATTGGAAAGTATCTTTGAGACTATATGCTCCCAGCACCCTGGGAGGCTGAGGCAGGAGGACCACAAATTCCAGTGCAACCTGGGCAACTCAGAAGCTTAGCAAAATCCTGTCTCAAAATAAAAAAACTGTAAAGGGTAGAGGATGTGTGAAGGTGTGGTTTAATCCCCAGTAACACAAAAAATCTTTGAAAATAATGACTGTCAAATAAATATGTCCATATAACACATGTAAAGATAAGTATCTCAAAATAGTTTGGGATGTGTACAAAAAAATGCTGTGTCTCTTAAGTGTGAGGCAGAAGTACTTCCCCAATTTCCTATGATAAAACTGCACCTGGAATGATGTATATCTGAATATAAGCAAATAGTAAGGTTTAGAGTCATACGTGAATTATTGCCAATGAAGATACTATGTCTCTTAGGTTTTGTTGTTTTTAATTTATATCATGTCTAATGTTAACCTTGATTATATCAAGACTAAGCTATCCAGTAAGTAATTAAAATTTCATGAGCTTGTCAAGTTTAAATCAAAATCCAAATTTTCTGCCTATATATTCCATTATACAAAATAATGGTAGAAGGAGTCAATAGAGCTTTAGATTTCAATATGAATTTATTTCCACAAAATCACATGAAAGAGGATATTTACGTTAGGACAATTCACAAGAACTGTTTAAAGACAAAAATAATAGAAATTGGATATTCATTCATGAAATATATTTGTTTAATGTCCACTGAGCAAAATATTCTACATTTTCTGATCCCTGTCCTATGACCACCAAAATGAATAAATAAGAAATAATTACAATGTCAATATAAAATGATATGGTGCAAAGGAATACAAAAAACACGTGTTAAGTAATGTGGGAAAGACTAAGATAATTAGGAAAGGCTTCCCTAGAGAGATCACTATTAATCAACTAATGACATTCTGATTGTAGTAGTTACACACAAAAAGGAAAGAATTAAGTATGAGAAACAACACATATCTTTTAAATTGATGCTCAATTGGGTATAAGACAAAAGACAAGATAGTAAAACTGATGGGTTGATTTTATATTTAACATAACAAGAAATAATAACACTATAAATACTTGGGTAATGGATATTGTGAAGAAAATGCAAATTTATGAAGATATTGTCTTCATATGTATTTGTAGGACAGATTATAACAACGGGAAAAACCTAGGAAACTGTTGCTGCAGCTACCCAAAGGTCAGGTGATAAAGATGTACATTAGTGTAGTTAAAGTAGCCTTTTTACCACCAGGTGACAGGCTGGGCTGTTAGGGAAAGGTGAAGATACTTAGGGCCAGTCTCTTTGGAGCCAGGTATCCCAAGAACAGAATATATTCCTAGACTACTAATAAAGGCCTAGAGGTCCTTCATGTATGGTAGATGAATAAGATCCCACTGTTATGGTCTCAATGGTACCCATAAAGATCACGTTATTCCATAAGGCACCACACTGATGTCTTAGAAATGAATAAAACTCTGATTTCCCCAAAGTTGATGAGCGTATTTCCCCAAATACACTGATTTCCCCAAAGTTGATGAGTTGGATTTTGAACCCACTGTGATATAACAAAAAGTTCATTTATACATTACAAATGTGCAACCATCCACCTTGGGTGGAAGATCTTTGTGACTACTATTCTGACGTAGGTATTGTCACACGTAAACAAGAAGCAAACAGATTTTAGTATCATAAATTATTGACACAAAGAGAGTAAAGGCATAATTACTGTTAGTCAGGGTTCCCTACACCATCTCCTCTTTACAGGCACTCTTGCCCCTGTCTTGAAGAAAATCAGGCTATACTACTTATGTGGTCTTATTAAATACCAACCTGGGGGCTGGGGATTTAGCTCAGCGGCAAAAGCGCCTGCCTGGCAAGCGCAAGGTCGTGAGTTCAGTTCCCAGTACTGGAGAAAAACCAAAAAAAAAAAAAAAAAAAATGCCAACCTGTGATTTGGTCATAAACTACAGCAGGCAAGTAACACACAAAAGGCATAAAATGCTTTGTCACGTCATATTTTACCTCTATTCTACTGAAAATAGGCTCCAACCTGCAGAATAATAAAAATGAAGAAAAAGAATCAAACTGGCAAATAGATTCTGGGAGGAAACAAGAAGTAGGAACTATTTAAATTTTTAAATTTTGGATCACACACATTAAGGGGTCACAGATTTGCAAAACTTGCCTGTTACCACAGAAAGAACTGTGAACAGTACCTATAATTTTTTAAATAAATCACAAATCTTCCAGCTATCAACAAATCACCAGAAGCATGGGAGGAGGGGGCAGAGATCCTGCTCTTAATAAAAAAAAGGATGTTCTACAGGAACAATCAAAATAACCCAACAGACTTCTGTGCTGGCTCGTGGCATTTTCAACACACTGAGCAAACAGAAAACGACGAAGGTACACACACACAAACACAAAGGTACAACCCAGAGACAAGCTGGCTGTAAGACAACAAACAGGATGACTGCTGAGTATTTACAGAAGCAAAGCGATCAATTCTGAGGTACTTTCATCTGAGGGAGGTCTGAGGAATTTACATGACTAGCACAGAAAAAGGAAAAGCTCCCAGGATTTGAAAAGAAAACCTCTAAACAGGGCGTATACTGAATTCCCTTTCAATAAATGGGTCAGGTCCTTCAAAAGAAAAAAATATATATTTTAACTACCAAAAGACCAAACTTTTAAAAAGAAATTTTAAGGCGAAAGATTTATACGATCTGAAGGGAAACCGGAGTATAAAAAAATGAAATTTTAGAAAGAAAAGAAAAAAAAAAGTTTCACCCACAGCACCATGTCCAGGAAGGACTGTTCTACCCGGCTATGCCCGGCAGTGCCCACGGCAGAAGCCACCCACCACGCATTCCCAGACTCTCGACAGTGTCACTCTGGAAACCAGAGGCCCCGGAACCCCGGCTGGCCAATGCGATCCGAGGCGCTCAGGACCCATCGTCCAGGCCTGGCCGGCAGGGCGCCGCGGGCACAGCAGTCTCCAACTACGGCCCCCCGCAAACGCGTGGCAGCGGGGCCCGACCGCAGCCGCCCGTGGGCGCCGTGGCGCGGCACTGCTTCCCAGGCTCGGCCCCGTTCCCGGCGCCAGTGGCCCGGAGTGTCACCAACAGATCACATCCTGCGCTGCGCGCCCGCCGTGGGATGCTAAGGTGCCCGGGCTCCGGCGCCGCCCGGCCTGCGCGCACACACGCGCACACGCGCACACACAC